AAATGGGCTGTATGGTTCCCAATGTTGGGAAATCCCACTCGTCGATCCAGGGTTGTCAATGAAGTGATCAAAGCTGTGAAAAAGGCTGAGGTCAGGAAGCAGGGCAGGAAATCCAATGTCAAGAGGGATCTCAAGATCCGGGAATTCCGCAAAACCATTCGCATTGTGGAACGCGATGGAGGAGCGAACATTGACACGACGATCAAGATCCCAACCATGTTGAAGGTTCAGTTTCACTTGATTGGCCGCACTGATGATTTGACCAACATGGAGACTTTGGATTTGCGCAGCCACTCCAAGTTTCCAAACTTCGCTCTTGAAACCAAGGTATCCTGGAGCAAGAATGTCCAGGAGGAGCGTGCTTGCCCGAACCAAATCATGCTGGGTGCCGCTGACCCTGACTTTTGCGTCCTGATTGCCTTGGCTATTTGGATCGAGACTCGTCTTGAGAGGGGACACGGTGATCCCAAGTTTCTGTTTGGCCATTACCGTGTCGATGATGAAGAAGCGTTCCTTGCCGCCATCGAGGCTCTGGACAACGACGAAGAGCTCGATGAGACGACGATCGAGACGGAGCCTGACCGAGTCAACGCCTGGTACCAACGGGCTTTGAAGAAGGCTTGGAAGGACCCTGAGTTCGTGGAGCTTGCGGCTCAAGTCCAGGGTAGTCTTGGTACCCACAGTGTGCGCAAGTTGCCTCCCACCTACGCTGCTGAGTGTGGGATTACCCAGTCCGAGAATGAAACTCGGGGTCGCTGGAAGGGAGAGAAGAATGGACACATCGTCCATGTCTACATCAACCTCGAGCAGCTTCCCACCGACGCCAAGGTTGCTGGAACGCTCGCTGTTGGTGGTCCCGTCAAGTACAGCATCAAGGCTGACAGCGGTGTTGACCATGGGTTCATCGGTGAGCATGTCTGTCCGAAGATGTGTGACTTCTTCGCTGACGACCCAAGCAACAACATCGCCATGGTGCTTGGTCCAGCCTTGCTTTGGGCTGCGATGGAACCTGGCTTGGAGCATATGATGACGGCTGAGATTCGCAACCGCATCCAGACGGAGTATGCCCAGCTTCGAACCACTTTGGATGAGGATCCAGGGGCCGACTACAACCCAGTGGCCAAGATCCCTCTTACAATCTACAAGGTAGCCAATGCATTGCACATTACTGAGTTGGCTCCCACCGCCCAGGTCCAAGCTGGTGCTGAGCCCTTGGTGGGGGGTGCTGCTGGCGGTGTCAACATGGAACAGCTCAACCAATTGCTTGCTCTTCAACACAGGACTCAGCAGGCGATCGAGGAGGCCCAGCAGATTCTTGCACAGGACATCAGCTCCTTGAGGGGCTATGTCTCTACGAACATTGCCATCGTGAACAAGAATATTGGGAGGATCAACCACTTCCAGTTGATCGCGAGGGGTGGTGGCAACGGTGCTCCAAGGCTTCCTCTTCCTGGTGTGCCCGGTGGAGCTGGCGTTGGTGGTGGTGCTGCGGGAGCTGGCGTCGGTGGTGCTGCGGGAGCTGGCGGCGGTGGTGCTGCTGCGGCGGGCGGAGGACTTCCCCCACCACCACCGACGAGTCCTGGGCGTTTGGCCCGTCCTCCTGCCGCAAGGGCCCCTACACCCGCTACCCTGCCAGCCCAGCTTTCGAAGAAGCCTTTCAACCTCTACGAGCTGTGGGACGAGTGGATCAAGGGCCTGAATGGCAACAAGGCCGCATGCGAGTTTACTGCTCGTGAGCGCGGCCGCGTCAAGGACAAGTTCTGCCGCCGCAAGCATGTGTGGGACTGTGTTATTCGGTTGATGGCGAAGGGCTTCGATTGGAGGGCAGCGGTCGACCGTATCTATGCCACCTACGGGTGGCTTACGGTCACCCAGATCATCAACAAGTTCAAGCACGACAAGAAGAATCAGCCCACCGGCTTCCACCCACGCTTGCGTTGAGCGAACTGCCTTGGTGGTGGCACCCAGCCTACAGCGCGATCCTGCTGTAGGCATAGCAAAAACAAATTTTATGTGTTATTAAGAAATATTTTGTGGTTACTGTTTCTTGTTGTGTTTTGTTATCTTGTTTGTGTGTGATCTGCTGGATTTCCTCTTTGCCGTTCTGCTGATTTTCGAGGACTTCGCGATTTTCGAGGAACAAACCAGTAGCAGCTAGCGATCTTTTGACTTGCGATCTTTTGCTTGGATTGACTTGGTTCTGTTCAGTGACCGACCAATCGATTCGATTCGATCCTCTTGTTCGATTCGATCTTCTTCATTGATACCTTCTTCATTGATACCAGTGAGCGAGCCAGTCGTTCGCTGGAACATGGATGTTCCAGTGAAGGTCGGGAAAGGTAGAAACACCCAAAACAAAGGGAAAGACAGGGTAACACGTAGAGCCTGGTACTCCATGTACACGGTTGTATTCCTGGTTTGTTAGAGGGGTTATACCTTTACTGTACCTGTGCAGTGTGCATTACCAAGGCACTTACTAGCTTGCCAGCTTGACCTAGCTAGCTGGAACGATCAAGCAAGGATCAAGGCATGGACTCATGACATTCTTTGGGCTTCGCTAGCATCCATCTAGCTACCGGTCCCCAGCTGGTACCACGCTACTCACTGAGTTCCACTCACTCGGTGAGTGGATACACTGTATTAGGTACCGTAGCTTTGCTACTCTGGAGGAGGGAACAGTACAATTACTCAGGGAGGTGGAGAAATTTATTCCAACCAAGGTAAACTATGTTAGCCAACAGTGGTACCAGGTATCAGTCGTACTGGAATGACGACGTAGCCGGTAGTCTAGTAAACTCTGTTTCGCGAAGCAGTGGTTTGCTGTGGCCTCATGGCTGAATGGAATCTCAATCAATTTTCTCCACCCCCCATACTTTTCTACCCTACGGTACCCACGGTGGCTGCGTTTTGCGCTCCATACAGTACTTGTGCTGCAAAATTTGCAAAACGATGACGCCAGCTCGGGATTAGTTAGTTGACCACTTGCTTGAAGTGAACCGTCAGGATCACCTTTTGTTTGCAAGTGAGAAACTGCACTTTCTCAGCTCCTTTCATTGGCTCGTTCTGTTGTAGATGATGAAGGTTAGACATAAGGACCTTCCAGGGGGGTGCCTCAAATCAATCTTCTCTGTTTGAATATATCCCCAACCACCAACCACCTGAATACAGTCATGCAAGCAATCGCTAAAAATAGGCACAACGGACACAATGAAGCGGCAGATAGTGGTTAAGAGTGGGTAAGCGTGGTAAAGAGCGGTGGAGGGTGGTCGAAGGCGGTAAAAAAGCGGTAAAAAAGCGGTAGAACAGGCGGTTGAAGGCGGTTGCAGGCGGTTGAAGGCGGTTGCAGGCGGTGGAAGATGGTTAAAAATGGTTAAGGCATAAAATACTTAATTAAAGGAGTTGTCCAATAAAACAGGAAGGTGGGAGAAGATATCAAAAGAAACAATGAGTTGGTTTGAGGCACTCCCCAGGTAAACCAACAAGGATATACTCCAGTAAAGGATAAGTGAAATGGCAAGATCTACTTTGGAAGAAAGGTGTTAATGAACCTTTGTTTAGGATTTGCCAAGAAATGACATAGAGGGATTCTAGACATTAAATGCCTCCCTGGAACTTGAAAAAAACAGCTAAACTCAGTGATCTATTATTTATTTCTGTCCACCGAGCTACTCCGCGGCACAAATGAGGATTTCCTCATTTAATGCACAGTGTTAAGAAAATAGGCAACCTAACATCACCTAGAAGCATGAAAATCAGTCTGTCTTTACACCTTGGCATTAAGACACACTGCACCAATTATACCCTTACATTTAGAAAGAATTGGTGCAAAAATGACCCCTCTTAGTAAACACCCAATATGACACTATCAACTACACTATCTCAACAAAGTAAGACAATGACATTCAAAACAACATTATTGCTGACAACTACCATTCAACAACTAGGTCAATTGGTTGGATATTGACTGAGATCTGGTAACCAGAAGTTGGTGGCTTTTTGATCACAAAGTCATCCTCCAGTCATGCTCCCAGGGGCGTTAAGTAGGAATTTCAAATGTGTTTCCCAAGCGCTCCGGAGGTTTTCCCCATTTTTGCTGCTTTCCTCATTTTGGCTGGGGAGTAGCGAGCCTTGCGTCATCAAGCCTAAATCAACTTTGTTACAGTGGCCACGTTGGATAGTGCACTTCCAACTCTTATTTCAGCTTTCTGCGTCTACTGTGCAGTTTCTAGTTTGAAACGGTATCTGGGTATCATCGGATCCTCGCACAATCCGACTTCTCCGCTCCGTTTCCTTTACTTTACTCTTTGGTTTTTCGCCTTGCCATGTCATCAACAGCACCAACAACAACAATGAATAATACCCCCGTCCTGGTCCACCAAGCGGCGCTTTTGAACCGCGAAGGAATTGCTGCCTTGTCCTGTGGCAATAGCGCCAAAGCCCATGCTTGCTTCAAGCATGTATTGGAGATCATGGGGTATATCACTCAGTTCCCCAATCTTCCCCAGGGGCACGCCGCCACTGCCTGGCTTCAAGGGGTTTCTCCCGTGTCGATCCCCAACTTTGATAATGAGCGCTTCTTCATCTACAACTGCGCCTTGATGTTTCAGCCCGTCGCGAGTCCTAACTTCACACAGCTGGACATTACGCTCTATAGCGCCGCCGCCATTTTCAACATGGCCCTCGCGTACCACCAACGCGCCGTTCAGACTGCTGGATCATCCTCCGCAAGTGGCATGTTGCGGATCGCTGCTCGCATGTACGATCAATGCCTCCAGATTGTTCGCAGTCTTCCCGCTGGTATCGAGTCGGATGCCAGTGCCCTGGTCTTGATTGTACTGAATAATCGATCTCATATCTACTTTGAGACCCAAAATTACGAAAAGGCATCGGCCATGCTCGATCATGTGCAGCGGTTATCCCGTTCCATGGTCCGTCACAATGCCGTCGGTGGTCCTGTGCTACAAACTGAATCCTTTGAGGAAATTGCACTGAATGTGTTGGTCACCACTCGACCTTCCACCGCCGCATGTGCATAGCTATGCTATCCAAAAAGAAACCCGCGCTACATACTTCCGCCATCCATATACCTCTACATACTCGCTGTAAAAATAGCTCCACATTGTTTTTGTTTTTTTAAATTTACTCCCACGATAGCACCTAGTAACTCCAATCTTTGATCATGGCTCGATCGTAAGCACCAGTTCACGACCCTGATACCCTCATCATGCCGTGCTGAGGATCAGTCATCGAAACCGCTAGCTAGCTGCCTCTCCAGCAAGCGCCAACAATTCTTCTCGTTCCGCAACCAGCAACCGCCACGGTTACTTCATGCTCTACACGAGCAATCAAATGGCTACTGCAGCTCCTCGGTTCGCGACTTTACTGTAGGACAAGGACAATTCCTGGCTGGTGAACATGCATCGGCCTCCAAGCTCACATTATTGGAAGGAAACTCCTTGCAGGCTATCTCCAAAGCAGCGACTAGTATATTGGTATATTTTGGTGGAAAGGAAAGATCAACTTCCACACGAGCAAAAAGGAATGAGATACCGTAGGCTACAGATCCTGTTGGTACCGGTCTCGTAGGCCTGCCTATGGGTGATTCTTCCTCCTTTGTTCCCTACAAGACGGTCTGGTTATGCTCAGCTCCAAGAGCTCCCGAAGACACAAGCAATCCAAGCCAAGGTCTGCTCCAAAACATGCTGGGAAGGATTGTTTGGGGTATCTCTCGGCTGACGTTTACTGCAATCTGGACAAAATCTATTCAAGGACCCAAGCGATCAATGCAATAGTTTGCAACTCTAAAACTCACCATCGATGGTTATTGATAAGGTATCAGCCAATTTCTATCACACTTTTAAAATTAACATTTCTTGAAAACGAGGGAAATTATAGTCTGCAGTACTGCGTGGTGAAGTTGCTTGATCTCATCCAAAAACAAACACATCTAGGAGCCAATAGCTTTGTCTTGCTCTAGCCAGTCATCCATCCGTACATCTATTCCAAATCTGAACGCCAGCTGCCTATCTCACAAAGAACAAGGCCAGATAGGAGAGATAGAAGAGCTTCCACAAATGCATGTAGAATCCGTACACTTCCTTGGGATCTTCGGGATCCACCCCTTGAGCCTCCTTGCGGACGGACAACCCGCCCGCGACAGAAGCAACACCAATGGCTCCACGAAAGGCCGACAGCAGGGCCGATGGTGCCATGAAGGCTCCACGCATAAAACCAGCACCATAGGCGAAAAGGAGTCCGGTCAAAAGTCGTCGCATGGCATGGAAGATTCGCTTTTGCCCTATTCTCACCGAGAAAGTTCGGACATTGGAGATCGCATCTCCCCTTACATCAGGAACATCTTTCATCAAGGCAATGACAATACCAAAAATCCCAAAGAACAGACTGGACAGGGCACATTTCATGTTTCCAAAGAGACAGTTCAAGGCAGTAGCCGAGGAGACTCCAAAAGCAGCGGATTGGGCATGGGCAAAGAATCCAGCATTGATAATGGTACCTCGCACAGCTACAATGCAAAAGGCTGCCAGCAAGGGGAATCTCTTGAGCCGAAAGGGAGGCAAACTGTAGAGAGTTCCCAGAATACAGGAGCCCCAAAGCGCGACATTCAAACCTTCTGATCCCAAAACTGGATGGGCCACACCCAAGGAGAGGGAAATGATCAAGGCAACCAGTACCGTGATAATGCCCGTCTTCTTGGACATGATTCCAGCCGCAATGGGCAAATCTGGCTTGTTGATCTTGTCAATTTCCACATCTGTAACTTGGTTAAGTCCCGTAATGTACAGGTTCATCAACAGCGAAGGCACCATGGCATACAATGCCGCCACAATATTCGCAGTGGAAAATGCAGTTGAAAAGGATGGGGCTGCCAAAAAGTGGATTGCAGGGATAGCCAACGCCGACCCGATCAAAGTATGAGGTCTCGTGAAACGCCAGAGCACAATGGGAAAGGGAGGTTTGTCAGTCTCTTCTTCCTCCACGATGTTATCCAAAGCTGTAGTGGCATCAATGCTTGTCTTCAACGTCGTCGCTGGAGATGAAGGTCCATTATAGTGAATGGATTTGGCTGCCGAGAACGCAACCCGAGATGCCATGGGCTGTGGCAAGCTGCTAAAGCAAGCGGCTCCACTGGCCGATGCCAGGAGCAAGGCAAGCTGATGGTAGGTCTTCATTGCTTTAAAACCCTTGTAAAAGTTTTTTTGTGTTGATATCTTCCGAGGGAGATTGGATTTGGATTGCCAAGCGAAGCCAAGCCAGCAACCCAGCTTGCAGATAGAAAGAGCTCGAGCCAACTATCTGATGTCGACAACAAACAGATGGACCTCAGAGCAATCCCTACACTATCAGAGTGTTTAGATTGAGTCATTTAAACAAATTTAAACCAAATTGGATCATAACTAAGGAAAACAAACAAAAGTGTTGTAAACAAACAAAGAGGTTTACATTTTGCATTTCAGAATATCAAAACGTAGAATGTTTATTCAATCTAACAAAATGTAATGCGGGCTCTAAGCTACCAGGCAGCTTGCTTGACCCCCCTTTATGCAGTCTTGTGGGGACCAATGACGTGGATCCAAAGATACCTTTTTGCTACCGAGAAGAAGAAGGGCGATCATTTGCTCGATGTGAACCCGGAAAAGAGCTCCCGCGAGGGCACCAGTTTCCATCGTCTGCCGAAAGCAGCCGTGTCAAGTGTCGCTGCTTTGGCAGTCCAGGATATCGCGGGAGTGCCTCTCACTGTTCAGGAAACAAACAGAACCATGCAAGGCCCAGGTGACATCAGCCAGTAGCTAGCATGGCACTGTGGCCAAATAGCTAGCGTAGGTTCCAAGCAAGAGCGTGCGGTGTGGGATGCTAGCCACTCAGTGACATTGAGCTGATTGCTCAGGCAGGAACATTCATCTTGACAAAGATCGATGTGGTTTGCTTGGTCAAAGTTGCTTATGATTTTTCTTGTGGTTTACGAAGACAGATTGCAAAGCAAACATGGGTAGATCAACTCCCGGGCTGCCTGAGCTGAGAAACTCTGGCAAATCGAAGCCAGCTCTACTAGTACTTTCGGCTCTCTCTTCCAATTCTTTGGACGCTACCGTACCTACGACTCGGCGGCATCCCGAGAATTCGGAGCAAGAGTCAGTCTTTCTATTTTGGGTCGTACTCTAGGTAGAAGCCTGGTTTGGGAGCGACGGCATCAAAAGTACAAGCCTCCACAGCTCGGTCGGTCCTCCCAAGCCAAGGTCTGTCCTCCCAAGCCAAGGTCTGTTGTCCGGCTTGCTCACTGTTTCATGTTGGGAGCCACAACTGACTGGGACATGCGTATCCTAGCTGGGGAAAACGTCATGCTTTGAAGACTTGTCATCAAAGGTTTCACAACCGTAGCTACGTTCTTGATCTATTCGTTTTAGATCAAAGTACCAGGTACCTTAGCTCAGCATGGCGAAAGCGTGCAAATGCCGACTACACCACATACAGACAACCAAGGACGAGGCACAAAAAGTGGTAGCATTGCATCTTGTATGTTCTAGCACGGATGCTCAGCAGCACCAAGAGAATCCTGAGATGATCCGTCGGTATCAGTGTCAGCATGTACGACGTCATGAGCTTCTACCTGTGCGGAAGACTTGGTAAGTACATGATACTCGCCTCGACCATCCTGAAGCTGGAGCTTTGACCAATTGGCTTTGACTTGGGGGAGATCAGCAGAAGCAATCACAACAGCAATGACAATGACCAGTGCCACTACCATGATCACCAGGTGTGCCTCTATCATGAGTTCATCGAGCTCGAAGCAGCACAGATAAAAGGCAATAAGATAAAGCCAGAAGCCTTGAAGGACAAGGAGGGCCCAAGAGCTAATGTGTGCAATGATACTGTCAGTTTGCATGACCGAATACCCAAATGCCAAACCATCTGCTAGATTGATGTGTCCCAGATAAACGTGCACTGATTGGTCAAGGCTAGATGCCATTGACATACCATGAGCCCGCCAAACAAAAAAGGCCAAGCAAAGAGCTAGTGCCAAAGCCGTGCGTCCAGAATCAGGAGAAAGGAATTCCTTAGATTCCAAGTAGGCAATCAAGCCAACCATAAAGAAACAAGAATACAGGGCCATGTGTAGACGGATGCTGGTGTCAATTCCTTCCCCAAGAGAATGGTAAATGGCCCCTGCAACAGTCAATACCATGACCCAGATTCCAATAGAGCGAATGATGCCCTTGTCCTGCAGGGGAAGATGAACATCTGTGAACGTTCGACCAGGAGGAAGCCGTTTGGTCATCTGCAAGGTCTTGAAAAGTGCATACAAGCCAAAGGCTGTAAAGATAGTTGCTGGAGCAAGGTGCCCGGGAAACTTTTCCCAACTCTTGTCCGTCATCATCTCGTTCGTTGTCAACTCCTACGCGAACTGGCTAGGTAGTAGCTAGCTTGCTTGTATTAGCGGGGGAGAAGAGAAAATGAAGCAACATGAGAGAGATGAGAGTAGGAAAGCCGGCCACTAGTATCACTTTGGCATGAAGCTTATGAAGCAAAATGAGAATTGTGAGCAAGGACTTTTCTCTTGAACGGCGAACTGTATGGTGCTTGCACGTGTATGTATTGAAACCCTTGCTATCTAGCTAGCGCCAACAATTGGCAAAACCAGGGCTAGCTAGATAGATCTTGAAGAGCAACCCCAGAGTCTGCAATAGTTCTCGCCTCACTTTTTGTTCATTTAGAGGGAAATTTGGCGAAATGTTGAAAGAGTTCGGAAAACACCAACCAAAAATCATCCAAATGCGAATCGATTCGATTCATGATTCGATTCAATCTTTGTGACACAGTGGTTAGGGGTAGAGATAACTGCCATTGGATGGTCGCGGATACCCTGGCGGCTTTGGTGTTCGGTCATTGGCTTCAATGGACCGCTGGAAAGACATCAAGGAAGCGTCGACGAAGTTTTCTCACAAACCATCACAACAGATAAAGCACCTCCAAGCAAAAAGGAAAGGATTGAGCTGTTTGAGAGACTATTTTGATTTAGAAACCATGAGTACTACCGGTGTGCAAGAGAAGCCTCGCATTTTGGCCCTGTTTGATGTGGATGGCACTTTGACAATTCCCCGCGGAGAGATCACTGAATCCATGCAGACGTTTATGCAGGACTTGAGCAAGAAAGTGACGGTTGGCATTGTTGGAGGTGAGGGAACAAATAATTGTCACAATGGTGGAATCCATTATCATTATCTTAATGAATTTTCTGGGGAGGGTATTCTTGTTTCTTGGTGGCAGTGATTCGATATCATTCTCAAACTTTTTTGTTTCCCGCATACCTTTTCTACCAATGACCCTCTCCAACATTCCATCTACAGGAAGTGATCTACCTAAGCAAGAAGAGCAGCTTGGCGCTGGAATTGTGAAGATGTTTCCTTATAACTTTAGCCAGAATGGTCTTGTTGCCTACAAGAATGGAGAAATCCAAGAGATCCAAACCATTTCCAAGCATTTGGGCGAGGATAATGTCAAGCGCATTGTCAACTGGGTCATGAAGTATCTCGCTGACACGGACCTCCCCATCAAGGTGAGTTTCTAGTAGTCTGATATTTGGTATATGGGATGGCGTTTTTCGGGATCTGCGTTGAGGGGAAGGGAAGGAAATCAGGATTTCAATTCGTGTTTTCTCATAGTGATTTTTGCCATCTTCATAATATTTTCACAATCCATTTCCAGAGAGGAACCTTTATTGAATTCCGAAGTGGAATGTTCAATATTTCTCCCATTGGTCGCAACTGCTCTCGTGAGGAACGTAACGACTATGAAAAGTTTGATTTGGAACACAACATTCGCAAGAACATGGTGGAAGCCATGAAGAAGGAATTTGCTGACTTGGACTTGACCTTTAGCATTGGTGGACAAATTTCTTTTGATTGCTTTCCAACTGGGTGGGACAAGACCTACTGCCTCAAATTCTTGCCTGCCGGTGATTTTGATGAGATCCATTTCTTTGGAGACAAAACCTTTGAGGGCGGAAACGATTTTGAAATCTTTTCCCACGAACGAACCATTGGACACACTGTGACATCTCCAGATGATACCAAGGAACAATGTACAAAGCTCTTCCTGAGCTAAGCAATTGAGATTCTGTTGGCTTACTGGCTGGCTGACTACAAGGGTTGGTGATGGAAATTGGTGGCAGCTCCATCGTCACGGTTTTGGAGCACTCAACTGCCTGCTGTATATGTAGGAAGTACAGTGAAAAACTACAATTTACAAGTAGCTACCTATTAGCCAAGTCAATCTACTACTTTTGCCGTTTTGAACTAAGATGGAACCATACGATATGACCATGATGGAGACAGCCTCGGATCCATAGAGAGCTGACAATCAATTCACGATCGTCGTCGTCTCTTGTTCTTCTTTGGTGTTTCCGGCTTGGCGGCATCGCACATGCTGCAGTTGAAGTCACCTTTCTCGTTCTTCATGGTGCACATTTCGCACTGCCACCCACCCTTTATGGGAGGTTCGTTCTCTTGTACGCTTGGAGGGGATGCTGCCCTCGTGTTCTTTTGTTGCTCTGGGGGCGGAGATGAAGACACTTCTGGGCCTGAAACGTTGTCCGGTGGACTTCCTGGACCCTTCTCAGCAGTATTGGCAGACTCCTCTGCGGTGTCCGTCTCTGTGGGTTCCATCTCTTCGTCTTGGTCTTCTTCAGAAGCAACACCTGCCTCGTCACTGTTTTCTGCAGACTCATCTCCGATAGGAAGGCTCTCATTGTCGTCATCTGCGCTTTCCTCATCGTCCATGTCTTTGTCGCCCTCGTCGCCGCCCGCGCTTGCTTGGCCATCACCTGTGCCCTCCTTGTTGCCCTCATCGTTGCTTTCTTCGCCGTCGCTCTCGGTGGTACCGGTATTGGCTGATGGCTTTGCATCGTCCTCGTCGCCGCTTCCCTCTTGGTCGGCGGCTTTCTCTGCTTCCTCCAACTCTCTCACCGCCTCTAGTTCTGCCATTGCTTCGGCTTCTTCCTCTTCTTGTTTGCGCTGCTGGATCAAGCTCCAGGTAACTTCCAATCCAAACACAAAGGAAACAGAATCGTAGCCTCGCATGGCCGCACGGAAAACTGGGTCATCCACTGTGTCGGCCGAGTAGTGATGCGACCAGCTTCTCATGTTCTCTTCATCTGGCATCCCCAGCTGTTCTTGAAAATCTTCACCTCGCTCATTGTTGGTGGGAGCTTCACAACCAAGAATGTCATCGTCATCGTCCTCAGCGCCACTCTTGGCCTTGACTTCGTCGTCGTCGGCTTTCATGGTCATGAGCTCGGGCACGAGCAATGTCCACTGTTCCGTCCAACGAGCCTGCAGGCGACGAGCAGCATCAGCAATTTCGTGCTTTTCTGGCTCCCAGACCTTAAGACAGTTGGAGAAAATCCGATTGACATCTTTGGAAAAATCGGATACATTTTTGTAAGTGGAAGCTGCAGCAGATTGTTTTGGTTTCGCAGCGGCTGCACCTGCGTCCTTGGGAGGCTGCGTCGCCAAGGTTTGGGCCAGTCTAGTTCGAATCGTCCCAAAGTCCATGGGTTGCTTGACAATCTTCTCCCATTCCTCCGTCGAAACCCCGTGATTTTGGGACACCATTGGCTTCAGAAAGAAGCTGGCATCTTCCTCCTTGACCATCTCATCCAGCAACTGGCGGCATCGGACCAACTGTTTTGGGAGCTTTTTGAGTGCTTCCGCTTCGGCATTGTCGTGAATGATTTCGCATCTCTCGCAACGCAGTTTGTCGTGTGTATCAGACGGAGTCCCTGCGCGTAGCTTGAATAAGTTTCGCAAGTCCTTGGTGCTGAGAGTATTCACTTGCTCCTTGTCATCCACTACAGACTGCAGTCCCTCTTTTGAGAGTTGCCGTTGGAAAATCTTTTCTTCGACAGTACCCGTAGCGAGGAAGCGATATGTGAAGCATCGCTTCTTTTGACCGTCACGCCAGCAACGTGCTGCTGCCTGTTTATCCACCGCCGGGTTCCAGTCTATTGTCAAGCGATTTGGTAGGTGGGGTTAGTGAGGCAATATTCAATTGGTGCTATCAGGAAGGGTAGTAGGCTCAATAGTACTGCGGCTGACTTACCGGGGTCGAACAAAACAAGTCGATTGCCACCAATCAGATTCAGGCCGCTGCAAGAGAAACAAGGAGACGATGGGATTAGTGCGTGGCGTCATGGAGGAGGGCAGAAACATTTGAAGGCATGCAACTCTCGACACAAAAGACGCAACGTACCATCCACCAGCTTTGCTCGAAAGTAAAAAGGCAATCAACGAAGAGCTCGGATCGTTGAATTCATCGACCATTTTTTGTCGCTTCTTCATGCTGATACTTCCATCCAATCGACAGAATCCCCACGAGCTTTCTCGGCACATGCGTCCAATGAGATCGAGCGTTTGAGTGTAATTGGATACAATGACAATCTTGTCATTACCGTTGCCCGGTTTGCGCATTTCCCTCATGAGCCGGTACAGGACAAACATTTTGCCACTCCATTCGGGATGAATGGGGGCGTTCATGCTACGACTACCGCCGCGTTCGACAAAGGGGAGGAATTTAGAGATACCGGCGGCTCCGGGTGCGGCCTTTTCTTCCTTGTCGCCGGCAGCGTCATTGTAGTTGACCCGCTTCTTGGAAGCTGCACGGCGTCCGCCCGCTTTGGCACCGCCGCCTGAGTCGTTTTCTTCGGCAATCAGACTGGGATGGTTGCATAGTTTCATGAGCATTTGGATACTCCCGAGACAATTGACTTGTTTTCCCTTGAGGACATGATGCATGGCCTTGCTATTGATCAAGTGTTCGTACATGTTCCGTTGAATGTCTGTCAAGTTGCAGCAGACGACCTGTACCAACTTGGGAGGCAAATGCTGTGCATTGAGCGTATTGACACGTCGTAGAATAAAGTGGTTGACAACTCCACTCATGTATGCCTGCGTATCGATCATTTTCTGCTTTTGTTTATCCGTGGCATCGGGTTCTCGTCCTCGCAGAATGGGTCCTAACAAGTGTTTTCGAAAGGATTCGGGCGTTCCCAGCACACCTTGATTGGTAAAGTCGACCATGGCAAAGAATTCTTCTAGATCATTTTGCATGGGCGTTCCCGTCAAGAGGACACGTCGTTTCACAGGAAGCGAATTGAGTGCCCGCGAGGTTTGATTCTCACGGTTCTTGAGTCGATGGGCTTCATCGCAAACGAGTAGATCGCAGCAATCGGGATGTTTGATGAGTCGTCCGACATGGGCCCGAATGCATTCGTAGCTGGCCACGAGTACATTGAATAGTTTGGTCCGTACAAATGCATCCAAGTTCTTTTCGACACTGGCTCTATCGGCTTCGGCAATGGCTAATGTTTTGACGACACCTGGCCCCAACCATTTGATGAATTCATTCTCCCAATTTTTGACGAGGGAACAGGGACACACGACAATGACACGCCTGGCAGTGGGAGCCCCATTTGCCGTGAGACCAGTTTTGAGGAGTGTGTAAATGAGTGCCACGCTCTGGAGTGTTTTCTGTAGTAATAAAATAACAATTGTAGTAGAGTGGTCATGATGGATTGTTGAGTTGGTTGGTGCAAAGAATAGAGAGAATTAGAAATGAAAAAAAGTGAGTCACAAGGATTAGGTGGGCTCTGTCATTGGAAACTATTGCTCTGTTTGATTGATTTGACTCTTGTGTGTAATGATAAACTTACTCCCAACCCCATATCATCAGCCAGAATACAGCCATTTCCTTCAAAGGAGTCCTTTTTGAGCCCCATGACACACTCGTACATGAATTGTACTCCTTCCCGTTGATGCGGTCGCAACCATTTCGCCAGTACGGTCGGCACAAAGACATCCTTTTTGCTGTATCGTTCCTTGGGTGCTTCCTTTTCGACTCGTCGTGTGACGGCAATGCCGTATTCGTCTTCTCCTTGTTCGGTTTCTCTATAAAAAAAGAAATTAAAAACATGTTGAGACTCACCAATGCCAAGAAGAATGCAAGAAGAATGACACAAACAAATGAATAGAGACTTACACGGTGGATGGAATTCCCCTGGGTTCCACATCCTCATGCAAATGAGGACTCTGCCATACACGCAGTGGTTCGGTTGGTTTTTCGGGTTCTTTGGCATTTTCCTTGTCATTCTCGTCACTCTCGCCTCCATCATCGTCATCATCGTCTTTGAGTCTCCGCGGTCCTTTGAATGTCAATCCTTTTCCAGCACGAGCCATCAATTTGGCCATGCCATCCATGCGTCGCTTGGGACCCAGCGAAGATCGTCGCAGAGCATCGTCGGACGCTCGACCGTACGCGCGTCGTTTCAGCATGGGACGTTGGAATTTCTTTTGCGATTGGACGCTGAGACCGGCAAACATGGGAGCTCGTTGCACCATAATCATCTTGCCCGGTTGAAACAGACGGCTGCTGGTATTGCTCTTGATCACCGAGCAGCTCTTGTTGACACCACCACAAGAAGAAGAGTCATTGTTGGGGGTTTTGGGGCGTTTGAGGTACATGGTGGAAAATATAATTGTAGTAAAGAATTGCACAGAATGGAATGGAAAAAAGACTTGCTTGGAACGCCGCAATGGAAGAGATCACAAGAAAAATTCTCCTTCTTCGAACTCTTCTTCTCTCACAAGAGACCTTCCTCCAATACTGGCTAGCTACGGTAGTAGAGAGCGACCACAACAGCACCGCTTGACTTCTTCTTCTTCCTGCCTCGAATGAATCGAATCAAATCAAATCCACCAAGCTCCACCACGATAAAATGATGCCAACGAACCAAGTGACCTGGAGAGGCTCGTCCACCTGTGCTTCCGAGAAGCACGATGGCGCGAAACCAACCCTTACCTTGGTTTGAAGCTATTTTATGGTTGCTCGAAAATTGTTGACAGCAAAGCTGCTTCGTGCGTCATTCCGTTTTGTGTGGCTGCAAGTCTCCGTTTTTCTCAAGAACAGCCGACCAAACCTGCCTCTGCCATTCTTCTTTACAAATAGAACACTTGGACAATGAGGTCGACGTCTGCTAGTAGCTGGATAGCGTTGGCGGCCGCACTATTCCTCCATGATGCGGCTGCCTTTACCATTCCAACAAGGCTGTCAAGGCGGACGATTACCGTGAGGTACATGGCAGGTGGCTTTGAGTGGGAAGATCCAGGAGAAGTCTTTGATCAAGGGGTCGAAAACCCATTCAAGAATCCCGATCTCATGAAAGGAGGAGATGATGGAATGAAAATTGATCCGGCCAGGCTCTTGGGCCCGCGATTAAATGGATCCAATCTGTATCTTGTTGGAATGATGGGAACAGGTACGGGACGAATGAATGATGCAATTTTGGAATTTCTAAAGGTGTTTTTCTCACTCGTTTTGATTCTATGCTGCCATTGAAATAGGAAAATCCACCGTGGGAGATATTGTGGCTCGACGTAAGTCTACATCAGCTCATTCAATTCATTCACATGAGGATCATTTATTTTGGTCGATGGAAGGGTCTGATTTTGTGTTCCCTTTTTTCGTGGTTTTCTTGGTTTTGTGAGAAGGCATCGGCAGCTACAACTTGTTGGACACGGATGACATTATTGAGAAAGCTAGCTCCATGGCCATTCCCGAAATTTTTGAAGCGGAGGGAGAAGAAGGATTCCGGGAGGTAGAAACCCAAATTTTGAATTCGGTACATCCCTACGTTCGTTGTGTCATTAGCACGGGAGGTGGTATTGTCACTCGAAATGAAAATTGGTCCAAACTGCAGACTGGAATAGTCGTATGGCTCGATGCCGCACCCGAAGTCATTATGAAACGAATTGAAGGAACCGATCGTCCACTCTTGCAAACAGAAGATCCACTGCAAACGCTCAAAGATTTGCTAGAGGAACGCAAAGAAAAATACGCACAATCCGATCTGCGCATCGAAATCACAGAGGATATGAATGAAGAGGAAGTGGCCAGCCAAATTGTATTTGATCTTCACAACTTTATCGATGACAACCCGCCTGCTTGGAAGTTGGCAAAGGCCAAAGCTCAGTCAGAAGGATTGGACTGGGTATAATACGTAACAAACATAACGTCTAGCTAGCTACTAGATTGGTTGCATTGCATGACCGTGAAAATGATGGTTCGTTGCCATGCCACCCGTTTGGTTGGGCTGACTGGCTGGGGGACTAAAGTGACGCTAACTTTTCCCCTCCTGCCCTGAAAAGGTTGAAGGGTTATGGCTTCAACTACGACCGTTGCACAGCATCCGCGGGAGCCTCATCAATCAATTAACCAGAATCTATCGAATCACTCGCTGCACAAAACGCTGGCATTCGATCACAGTTACCAGTGAAAGCACACGTTCTGTTTTGGCTCGGTCCAACCAATCTTCTCTGTAGATAGTTTCGTATCCCTGGGTTGCTTTCGATCCCATGCATTCGCCCCAATCTAGCTACTCGTAGTTCGTTCACGTCGAATGGTGTTGCTTGACTCAAGCTCCGTTTCTGGCGGATGTTTCAGGGATGCAGCGAAGGGAACTCGAAGGTTACATTGTCAAGCACGTTCGCGTTCATTGGCACAACGCTATCTGGCCTCCTACAACCCAACTCCACATCCCATGGTTCCGACCTCGCCGGTGCCCCCCTCAGCCAGAGTCAAGTGACTGTCAATCTAACAATCCACGTGCTGTCTGCTGGCTACAAAATGGTGGCTATCTGACGAAGTAGATTTAATTTTTCATTCAATCAAAATTACCGTACGGGTATGTACTAGCTAGCTAGAGCTAGAGCTAGATGTGCCCTGGTACTGTATGTTGTGACGAAGCTCGTGCTTTTCTACGCGAGAACTAATGTAATAATGTGTAGGCTTTGGAGTGTTGACAACATTGCTGATGCTTGTGGTTTGCTTGATATGACCCCCTTCACGAAATTGATTCTCCCAGTGGATAATGACTCCTATCTCCCTTACGAATGAAAGGACTTTTTCCTCATGAGCCGATGTCGTCCCGCCATTTTCGGGTTGCTCTTGTTGGTGGTAGATTTTGCCTTGGGGGGTATCGTCTTGGGGGATGGTACTACTGGGTCATCTTGTGTTCCGGCTGTACTATCCAACTCTTCACTGTAGTCATCGTCAAAGCGAGAGCTCTTATTTTTCTTTCCCCAAAGCAAGTTTCGCATCGAGTTGGAATACCTCGGGATGGTCACCACCGAGACGATGGAATCAAAGCGGATCAATCCACCCCGTTTCTTGGCTTCACCGCCCTTGAGGTATTGTTGCGAACAGGCTTGGGAGCAATGACCATGTTCCGGTTCTGGCATTGTTGTCTGCTTGGAGGACGGCTCGTCTTCGGCCGTAAAGGGTGCGTCTAGAAGACCCAATCGGTTGAACAGCAGAGCTCGAAGCTGGTGCTGTCGCTTCTTGATTACGGGGCTATCGTGCCTTGCAGCACTACTACTAGTAGTGGTTGGACTCTCCATTCTTCTTTCTCTTTTGGTGTATTTGTGGCTTCCTTGTGGCTTTGCGATCGAGACGGTGGACAAAACTATGCAATTCAGGAGGTGGATGCTTGGTTCTGCAGCATCTCAAACAGGGCTTCGGTGGTTTTGGCCTTGTTTTTGCTGTTTGGGTTGATAAAAGACGCTCTTCTCAAGTTGCGGTAAAAAAGCTGTCTGCCGTACCAATTTACCCGAACCTCTTTTTCTAAGTCACCTGGAGTCATTGTGGAGTCCAGTGACAGTCATATTCCGCAAACTGGTACGACTACCGGTACGACACCGGTATGAAAGGACAAAACTATTATTTTGTACGTTGTATGGTACCGGTACCCAAGCCGATCTACCGGCTTAAATTTCACTAAACCACCCAACACCCAACAAGCAACATAGTACAGTAGTAGCAACATCCGAGTCCACGATTCTTGACAGCAGCGAGATAGTGGGAGACAGACAGAGAAAGTAATATCACCATGAGCGAAAGTAGATGGGGCCCCAGAAACCACGGCAGCGACCGCAGAAGACGTGGTGACGATCATCGAGGAGGAGGCGATTGGCGTCGTGATCGGTCTCGTTCTAGGTCTCCCAGTCCTCCTTCGATAGGGAGACGATGGGATCGAGAGGACCGTCGACGGGGCGATGAGGATCGTCGCCGCAATGAGAAGGACGAAGCAGCTCCTCCTGTTGCTCGTGTGTCGTCGTCGGATCGAGATCGCCAAGAAGCCGACCGCAAAGCCCGCATGGCTCGACTGCGAATGGAAAACGAAGAAGAGGAGCGACGATTGGCCAATGTCGATGGTGAAGGAGACGAAGATGGTAATGATGGTACAAATCACAACGGAAGAAAACGAAGACGACCCGAACCAACCAAAGAAATCATTCAAGTGCAGGAATCAGAGTTGGAAGGATTGGATGAAGAAGAACAAATGAAGCGATTGCTGGGATTCTCGGGTGGGTTTGGATCTACCTCTGGACAACAGGTCGAAGACAATCAGAGTAGTGCGGCACAGGGAGCTGCTGCCAAGAACAAGGTATGCCTGATTTCTTTGTGATTTTATTGATGTGTGGTTTTGGATTTTTGTCATTATGGTCTGGTGTCCTAATGCAATTTCTTTTTGTGTCCCATTTTCATTTTTGCAGGCAAGAAAGTATCGTCAGTACATGAATAGGAAGAATGGATTCAACAGGCCACTTGAGAAAATGGAGTAGAGCAAGATGATATTGACCAAAAGCTGCAGAAGATATTCCCCTTGCTGTGACTTTGGGACGAGTCAACAACAGTATCACAACTATCGGTCGATTGGGTTTGTTCCTTTGTGGACTTGGGACATCATGGGAAATGATCTATTTGTATGGCCTCAACAATACTCGATGAATGATTCATCCTACCAAAGACGGAGTGTCATACATATATCAATGCTGCCACCAACGATGTGCCCACAGTACATTCAACGAATTTATTTTCATTCGGCGATGTTTGGAGTTTCCTCTTCTTCAGTATCTTGCGAGTTCAATCAAGTAGATACCGGTTGGTCATGGCTGTTGTAATCTGCTGTCGGTTGGCTCCTTTCGAGCTGGCCTAATAGAGTGCAGATAAACTCGTAACGAATATTCAAGTGCGGGTGTTGGCTGCTTTCGTTCCTAAATTCCTTGCTCAGTACGTCACGGACGCGTTTTGAGAGGAAATTGCGCGACATAGGTCTGGTTTAGGAACAAGGCGGGGATGTCCATGTATGGCTGTGGCGCAAGGCCTGACTAGATATGTTTGGTTTGTTTCTAAATAATAAAGTTGATTGACTGAATGATAAGTTGAAAAAGTAGGCAAGAAAGAACATCCAGACGGAAAGACCTGTTCGAATCTTTTCCACAAACTGAGGGCGACAAGCCCTGGCGTTTGCCTAGATTGCGCAAGCTAGACCTAGGCTTGGTCGGATGGATACAGATGATTGCGTTGCATTGCATTTGTGATGTTACACGTGTGTTTCCTCCACACACCCGATGATTGCAAGCCATCCGACAAACGAGTTTGTCCTCGGCCGCTGAAGGACGAATCATCGACACATTATCTAGACAATTATTTACTGGACCACTGGAGTGACTGACAACCAAAACACGAAAAAGGGGGCAGGAAGGATAAAAAGTCTAGCGTCTACGCCCAGACCTAAAAAAAGCAACGAAAGGCAGAAAACACGTTAGAAGTCAAATCACCATCTGCCCATGATGGCTGCAAGCGCCAAACAAAACAACAGCATCAGGATCCATTCGGCATGAACGAACGTACCTTGAGAGTAGTGTCCCAGGATCCAGTACAAAGTGCTTCTCCGGATGGCGAAACCCCCAAAGAGGCAATATGTCGTTCGTGCGCTCCGGCCATGGTGAATGCGGGTGTCGCTCGTTCGGCCATGACATCAAAGGCTAATACGGATCCATCGGAATGTCCCACGAAAAGGATGCGTCCCGACTTGCTAAATGCGAGTGATGTGAGTTTGTCTTCGGCGACACCGGGATCGTTATTGGCCCCGGCTCCACCGAGATTGACCTTGAACAATGAGAGTTCGTTGTAGGCTCTCATATCAAAGATACGAATACCTCCATCTTCAGTGCATGTGGCAAAGCAGTTTCCATCGGCGGGCATAAAGTCGACGCCATTGACATCACCGGTATGTCCCATGAATGTTTGCACGCAGGATTTGGAAGCTCGGATATCCCATACCTTGGCCGTTTTGTCGACACTGGAGGACACGAATACATTTTTATCGGTGGGACTGAGACTCATAAAGTTGATGTGTTCCTTGTGTCCGGCAAATGTATCTAGAACGGTACCTCGTGCGATATCCCAGCGAATGCAAGTGGAGTCTCCACTGGACGTGAGAATCTTGGTATCATCTAGGAATCGACAGCAAGTGATGAGTCCATCGTGTGATGCCATTTCCATGGCTTGATCGGGACTGGATAGTTTGTATACGGTACAGAGATTGTCGAGTCCTCCGCAGGCTACCAGTTCTCCCTTGGTTTGTTCGTATCCGACACTCATCACGTAGGATGACTTGAGCGTAATGGCCTGAACTTTGTTGGACGTGACGGCATTCCAAATGAGTAGATTTCCATCTTGTCCAGCACTGACGAGATGACGTGAATCTCCTCCCCAATGCATGGCGGTGACTTTCCCAAAGTGTCCCTTGAGACATCGACGCATTTTGGTGGTGGGTGGATTTCGAATGGGTGCCGGGTTTTGTGCCTTGGTTCGAGCGACCGCTCCGAGTCCCTGATCGCGTTTGCCATTTTGTGTCTTTTGAATTTGTTTGGCCAGATTTTCGACCTATTATAATATACAAAAGAGACGTGAGAATGAACGAACAACCGAAAGAATGAGACAGTATCGAGCAGAGGTGGTGGTGGCATCCGGAATGGAACGACTGAACCAACCCAACCCGCCGACCAATCAGTCATCTGGCTAGACCATTCTACAAGTCGAGCCAATATTCCCTATGGACCCACCGGTATCCCTTATTCTACGCACCTCTGCCTTTGCCGCCTCGATTCTGGAGTTTAGGTCTGACATGATGCTATGGTTGTAGCGTTTGGTAGAAACAAGACTTGTTGAAGAAAGAGTGTGGGAAGGGTATCTCGTTCCTAAAAGACTATCGATCTATCTAGCTAGCTGAAGACTCCTTTTCGAGGTCCTTGAGCTCTCGCTTGGATGATGCACAGATGAGATGCAAGGTGATGACGATGACCTTGATAACGACGACAGGAACAACAAGCCACAACAGCAACAGCAGCACCAACAAGGAGAGGATGGAGTTTGGCCTCTTCCGTTGACAGCTCGACAGCTCCAATTTTTGCAAAGGGGTTGGCATGAAGCGAAGGCTTATGACCAGTTAATCCCGAACTCTCACTCCCGTGTTCATTCCTGGTAGCAGTTCAATCATGGATACCAAAATCTTTTCTCCTCTGGTTAGTAAACCTTCTTCTCCTTTTCTTCCTCATCCCTCCCTGCCATCAAGATGTGGAGATGACGGATCCATCATCATGTTGTGATAATAGTGATAGTAATAAGGATCCTCCAGAAGAATGGACCGTGACGACCATGATCATGACAGTCGCCACATCGTTGGAAGATGACAGTCCCATGGAAATCAATTTGGCCGAGACTCTGGAACGTAAAAAGAATCCCCCCAAGCAACCTTCCAACGACAATGCCTATTGGTTCCCGTCCTCCTTTTGTCTCAACACGGATACTTTTCGCAAACAGCAGTTGGCACCAATACTGTTGAAAGCCTGTCAACGAGCAGGATGGCAAGCCATGATCAAGGGATGGGACAAGAGTCGCATGGCCACCAAGGTCGTTTGTCGGAGACATTGCTGGTACAAGAATCGATCCGTCCGACCAGACTATCCCAAAAAGACACGAGTCATTCATCGTCCCATGCCAGGAAAGGAGGTCAATTGTCCTTTTAAGTTCTTGGTCGGGTGGGATCCCGTACAACAACGATGGTTTCTACCCAAAGAACAACGAGGCTGCAAACGACACGTCGGACATGGACCGCAACAAGAAGAAAATATTAATGATAATGACAAGAACAACCATGTGCAAGAGCAACAAGAGGGGAAAACAGCAAAAAAGAAAAGTGACAATGACAATCAACCAAAGCAAGAACCACCAGGGGGAACTAGTGAGGAGGATAGCAATGATAATAAACGAGAAGCTACAGATGATGACAAAAAACAGTCTCCAATTTTTGTTGTCGAGACGAATGCAACCGCAGATCATGACAAGAAGACTGACAACCATACTATTTCATCTGTCCAACTACTACAAGAACAAGAACAACAAGAATCTAATACTACAACAAAACCACCACCAGCTACCACCAAACGCAAACGAGTCAACACTTTGGCCTACAATTCACTGCTGCCAGTCTTTCAACAAATGACCGATAGTGTGCAAAATTCAAGGGAACTGAAACACTTGGCCGAGCTCATGCATCAAACGCATCGAAAACTACTCGAATACCAGCAAGACCCAGCACAAAGCGCGGTCATGTCAAGGGGGAATGCTAATGATACCACTGCCTCAGCCGATAGTGGTACTGCTATTGGGACCGATACTACAAAGGAACCTACCAGCAACAAGAGACAACGCCAAGAATAGCTAACTAGTACAAAGTGCATACCTAGTAGGGGAGGGGCAAAAACATGCAACAAAACTTCATGTGTAGTCAAATAGATGTAGATCTCTTCTTTACTTTATGATACTAGACTACATAATATATATATTCACGGCCAAGAGATACGACAGAACACAAACACGCCAGCCAACAACTTTCCTTCTTTGAACACATACATATTCTGGTTTCCACTTCTAACTGAACATTCGTTGATCAGTGCACTGGAGCCTGGCGGATCCACTGCTGGAAACGATGGAGTTTCGTGTTGGCTTGTTGGAGTTCACCCGTCACTCTTGTCAAGTTGGTCGTGACAAGTTCCAGGTCACCATTGACGGCTGCCAGTTGCAACTTCAATTCGTCAATCTCGGCCTGGTATTCGGCTCGGGGCTTCTTCTTCTCCCCCACAAAGCTGGCACCAAACTTGAGCAAGTTCTTCAAACCTCCTTCTTCTCCTCCCGTACTGGTGGAGGTGTCCGTGTCGGAGTCACCACCATCCGTGTTGTCATCATCTCCTCTGCTATTCTTCTTGTTCTTCTTTTGCTGCTCTTTTTCCAACTTTTTCTGCTCTCGTTCCAGCTTCTTTTGCTCCTTCTTGGCTTGCTTCTTGGCCTCCTTTTCTTCCTTGGTCAACTGCTCTCCATCTTGTTGCGCTGCTTCCGACGAGGACTTGTTCTTTTTGCGGACCGAAAAGGGAAACCTCTTCTTGCTCTGGGGTTTCTCTTCGGCTGGTAGAGAAAGTTCTATAGCGGCTGTCATATTGGTTCAATTACGTTGGCTTTGTGGGGCTGCTGAACTGCTCGATTCAAGTTGTGAGACTACGGTCCTATCTTTTGCCAACCAAGGGGGTCTTGCCTCGCTCAGCACTGTCCTAGCTAGGATCCATATCTTTTTCTTGCTACCCGATTGGATTTCCTCTGGTATCTTGGCGTAACAAGACCAGGTCCTAGTTGTGTCTTGAAGTCTTGAAGGCGACTCGTGTGGAGTTCATCTGTAATTGGAACGCAACCAAAGAGAGCTCCGATACCCAAAACCTACCTTCAAAATTTCTCGCTCTAACGCTACAAGGCGCGACTACAAGTTGAGATCTCACTTTTCATTCTTGCCTCAGCCGTCCCGAATTCTTATCGTGGATCCTCCCACCAAAAACCGAACGACAACAACAAATACCGTGGAGCCGTTGCTGCTGGTGTGCTGTTCATTCTCATCAAAACCTGGGAGGAGCATGGGCATGCAAGAGAATGCATGAATTGGTGATGATGATGATGATGTCGAAAGTACGAAATTTGCCCCAATTGTTTCGACCACTTCTGGACCCCAAGATTTACCTGCAAAAATTCAAATCTTCAGGTTCAGACATGGAAAAAGACATCTGGCAACGAACACCCAATACTAGTATACCCACCATAATAGAGCACTTACGCTACCATACGAGCTCCACTCTGTCAACCAAGTTAATAGCATTGATAGTGAGGCTCTCCAATGATGGTCTGTTGATACCTTGACAGCTACAAGTGTCGAAATAGCAACTGTCAGAGGGTGTCCCAGTGTCCCACCACATCACTCTGAGTCGCTGCCGGCATCATCGTCTCCATTATCTTCCTCCAAACTCTTCAGAAAAGCTTCCTTGTCAGCCTTGGAAAGGCCACGGAGAAGACTTCTGGCCTTGTTAACTTCATTGGCCCTCTGCCGGCCGTAGGAGGTGTCTCCAAGGGCAATGTCTCCATCAATCTTCTCTTTCAACTGAATTAGCTCTTCCTCATCAGCTTCCGACCATGGCTCAAAGGAAGGAGGCTCTTTGTTTTTGAGTTGCATCCATTTGGCTACCTTCTCAGGCTTGTTTTTCAGAGCTCCTGGTATTGTCTTTGAGCCCATCTTCCAACAGAGGAGATGCCGGAGTTGGGCATTGGTGAAACTCTCCGCGCTGGCATTATTCTCTGCTTGTTCCAACACCTGAAGAGCAATCTCTTGCCTCTGTTGGGCCTCTCGCTTCTCTGCCTTGGAGGCTTCCATCTCCTTGAGGCATCCCTTCAGTTCCTTCCTCTCAATAGCAATAAACATGTCATCATCATTCAGAGCAGCGCCGCCAGTTCGGAGGAAATATTTGCCACCACCAACTTTGGTTTCCTCGATGGCATCCTGTCGCTCTCTGGTTCGCGGCTGAGTGATGGTCTTCTTCCTTTCTGCAGCTTTGAATTCAGTCAGCTGAAAGTGAAAGAGAGATCCATTGTAGCCACCAGCATCAAGGATATCACAAGACTTTCTGTTGAGGGAATTCAAGTCTCGTAGGTGTTGTGCCTCTGGATCAGCCTCTGTATCAGCCATTCCTTGAGGTGTAACAACAACCTCATGGCGCACATGTTTGCTTTTCAAAGCAGCTCTTGTAAAGTATGGATAAATGCCAAGCTTTGTGGACCAACACTTGCGCACTCGGTCAATGGCAAAGGCATCCTCAAAACTGTTCTTCAGAAGAGGAAACTGCGGATCCTCCTCTCGCTTTCGACTGTATTGACTCCCAAAGAATAACAATCCAATGTCATTCTTGTTAATGGTGGAGGCAATCTCAAAGTTGTTCTGTCGGTATTCCCATAGCTGTTCAAGGTTTTCAAAGTATCTTGTCTTGAGTAATCCAAAGACCATGTCACAGATCTGTAAGAGCCCGATTAGTGCATTAGAGCAGCGTGGAACACGATGTTAGATAATCAATAGAAGAATAAGCAATAGGACGAATTGATGCTGCAATATACAAACCTGTAGAATATGAGTTGTGTTTGGTGGCCCAGATGGAAACAAATAGATGCCTCGCATTCGAAGCTGAGTTAACATCTCTTCATTCGTACGTCCGGGCCCCCCATCAACCAACAAGCAACATCTCTTTCCGGGTATATCAGCAGTATCATTGGCAATAAGAGGAACAAAGTTTTTGTCAATGTAGGCTCCGAACTCTTCTTTGGTCATGCCACCTTTTTCGTTGACGTTGTAAGTGGCTGAATGACCGGACACTTCAGCTGACAGATACTTTGCTGTCGTTTCCAACATATCCACAATAAACTCTGCGTATATCCCTTCATTCTCTTCCTTTGCATCGGTTGGGAGCTGAAAGTGTGGAGGAAATGGCTCTCCAGATGCAAAGCAGCCGGCAACAAGAGTGCATCTCCATGAACTCTTGTGTGCACCATGAGATGGAGCCGCTGAGCTACGAGGATTATAGAAACCCATGGCCGGTCTTCCTCCTTTTCCATTCTTCTCTGTATCATCAAGGGTGAGGCAAGACTCATCCAGATTGGCAATACGGGCGCCTTGGTCAGGACTGACAAACACAAGCTCATCGTCAATGAGTTTGGCAAATCCTTGGTCAATGAAAAACTGCTGCAGGTTCGAGTACCATTGATTGATATTCGCATAGGTAGCATACTGCTGGCGTCTCTGCTCAATACGGTTTGGTTTGCCAACGTTGAGCTCTCCAGCAAGCTCAGCTTGCACTCGGTCAAAGAGTTTCCTGCCTTGACGGGAACTTTCACCCTCAAGCTTGTTAACACAAGCATTGACCATTTTAGTGAGTTTTGGTCGCAGATTCGTGACTTTCTTTCCATCCTCAACAGACAAGAGACTGTATGACTTGACAGCATCACAAAGAGCCTTGAAATACTCTTCAGGCAACTTCCCAGGCTCTCCACGCTTCTTCAATACCACTCGATTCTCTAGCACGGCATTGCGCACACTGCGTCCAATGAGTTTGATTCCGTGGACCTGAGCAAGTGGCTGTGCGTTGATCTCGCCACAGATAACCTCAGCCGATTTCTTCTTATAGGCCTTCCCCTCAGCCTTCAACCGTTGTTCTTTCTCATTCTCCTGCTGAACGGCCTCACAAGCTTCTTGGAACAGTTTGGCTTTCAGATCCCTGGTTTGGATATTGACTTTTCGCTGTCCTGTAGCTTGGTGGGAGGTCCTCCGCATCTTCATCATCTTGGGAGCTGTTGGCACGATGGGGATAACACTCTCTTGAGAGTCCGGAAATGGAAAGACTTTCTCAGCTTCAGAGTCCAACTCCATACTCTCAAAGTCATCTAAAAGTTGCTTCTTCTGATTATCTAGCTTGCTCTTTGCCCGATGAACTCGCTTGTGGAGGTTTCTGTTTGCTCTATCTTCTGTTGAGACTCCAGCATGCCGAAGAGCTGATTGAGCAGTCATTCCTTGACCATTCTTGGCCAGCTTGAGTATCATTCCTGCAGTTTGCACAGCCTCATCGACTCTCTTTCTGTTGGGTCTGCTCATGGTGCGTAGAAGACGAGAAAGCGACGGCGAAAGTCCATTGTTGATCGATACGATCGTCTGTAAAGAAGTGTTCCTTTTTCGCTGATGAGCTGCATCTTCTAGTTATCTTTATTATCTATTTACGAAGACCGGCGAATGATCTGATGGGTTGCTCGTGTCTTATTGCAGATGTGTGCTCGCCTACCATTGTTTGTGGTCAGAAGTTCTGGATGGAAGGCAAAAAGTGAGTGGTGTCTGAGTGAGTTTCCTTCCACCCCGATGTTCTGATCAAAAATTTTGGCCAAGTCGGAGGGCGCGCTGCAGAGGTGGGACAGGCGATCGAAACAATTGGTATTAAATCTGTAGCCTTTGCTATTCTATTTGCCTTTAGCTGCAGCTTTCGTATGACTGCCGCCTTCACAGATCCGGAGGGCTTCTATCACTCCATCTCCAATGTTCGTCTTGATGAAAATTTTACCCTTGCCTCGGTTCGCCTTTCTCCATCCAAGAAGTCTCCTATCGCAATGAACCACTACACAACTATTGGAATGCCGATCTCGGGGGACACTGTGGATGAAATGAGCCAATGTGTTAAAACCATTCTGGCTGACAGGAAAAACTTGATGGTCGTTTCAGTACCAGAAATTAATGATGAAGATTGCTATTACCTTGTCTACCCATCAAGATCCGGTGGTCAATTGTGGGGCCCCGTGCATAGACGGTCCCACTTCGGAGGGTTTGTACCACATTTTGAGGGAAAGTCACGAGTCAGGATCTGTGTCCTTTCTAAATCTGGGGACCCATTTGTTACTGACGATGGAACAACCTTTGAAGAGGTGCTCGAGGGTAGATTTCTGGGGGTATGGGATGAAGATGGAATGGTTCTCGATATTTTAAAATCTGAAGGGCAGATTGAGCTGCATAAAATGGCTGTAATGAGCAAATCGGGAGAAGGTGCCATCTTTTCTGGATACGGATTCATGGATCGAAGTAGCAATGCATGCTTCTTGGCGTTTGACTTTGAATGTCCAAATTTCGGTTTCTTTGGAGTACACACACCTACTCCAGTGGCAGCGATGGTTCAGTTATCAGGGTTTGCAAGAGAGGTTCAGACTTTTGATTCTCTTGAAGAGTATAAAAGCTCCAAAAGCAAAGATGAGATCAAGTTTGCAAGCCAATTCTTTGGGACTGAAAGCTTCAACGATGGCATGGAGAGCGGATTGAACCGCAATGGCACCTTCGCACTGATTGTGGGCCACGTCCTTGAATCTGAGTTGCGATCAAACGAACTAACGGGCCAACCATTCTACTGGGCCCTTGTTCAGACTGCTGGCGGTATGGAAATCGATGTTGTGATGCACCCAACCTTGCTAGAGGGCTTTGGTATCAAGCCACCTCAAGTTGGCGGGGTCTTGCTATGTTACTGTTGGTTGTCTGGCCTTTTACTTTCGGTTAGCTCTGATTGATAGAGGTTATGACGTATTCCCGGCCTGTCCAGATCGCAAGAGAAAGGTCGATTCACCCCATTTATTAAGTGCTGTAATTGATGATGAGAAGGGGGCTTGAGGAAACAAACCCAAACAATCTTATTCAGTTGCTAGGACCATCAAGCAAGATAAGGCTCTCGGGAGATTTCTTGGTAGCACAAAAGTCTCTGTGAGTCCGACTCCTTGTGATGATGACAGTGGTGTTGCTAACACCTTGACCCTCACTTCAAGACCTGGCTGGGCTTGCAATTCGTTGATTCGAATGGAGAACGCGATCTGATTGCCCTTCCCATATTGAACTGCTCACGAGATGTATGTGCCCCTATCAATATGTCTTCATAGAGTCTGATGTTGTCAGCATTTGAGAGGGTCTTTCTAAAAGTATTGGCCTGCTGTGTCTGCATGTTGAATGACATCTCCAATGCGGACCTGTATAAGCTCGACAAGTATGCTTCCATCCATTAGTGGGCCAGCCCAAATATGGATGTTTTGCAATTGAGGAGCTGGGAACTGAAGGCAGATGGCTGATTGTTGTGCAATTGTTCAAGAGAGACCTTGCTTCCAACCTACTGGTAGTGTCAAGAGCTGGTGCAAAACTTGACACGTATGGTGACAGTAAGGGTTTTTCTAGTTGACTGAGCGGAAGGTCTTCCAGAGCAACCAGTTTCAACTAGCGTCCAGTGATTTGCACCCTATTGGGTCGGACAATGTTGTCTGGCTGATCCATTGCTTGGGTATGCCTTGTGAAGCATTCAAAGGACATATGCGTCCATGATCACCATGTCATGGTTGCTGGAGACTTGTAGCTTGTTGAAGCTGGAATAGCTTCTTTCTACTAGTGTGGTTTACTATCTTGCTGTTGGTGGGTTCCGTGCCGGTTCAGACACAGCATCCTGCGAGGAGTTTTGAAGAACCTAATTTCCATAGATCCTCCAAAACTGCAACCAGGTCACAGGCAGAGCTGAGGGACCGCTTGGTGATGCAATAGCTAGACTAGCTAGCAGCTAGTGCGCACTAGTGCGTGAAAAGAAGTACAGGTATTTTGACCCTTGAATGAAACAGATCACTGCTTTGCTTCGATCTCGCGCACTGATTGGCTAGCAGTAAGTGGCAGTCGGATTTGAAGGAGGATCTTGTGGCATGCCTCCGGAACAGGATCAGCAAAACCATTTGACCTCCCTGTCGGATAGCTACACGTAGCCGCCCCACAGCCACCTAACCCAGCCAACTCGGCCGAGCAGTAAAACTAGGTACCAGTTGCTGGCAGGAACCAGACAAGGTCGGCGACATCTATTGCAACTCTGCACTCTGCAGATGACTTAGCTAGCTTGCTGTAGAATGACGCAAGTCCTTTTTTCGAAGCCTTTCCAAGCTCTGCTCTGGTTTCTGTGATGTCTTCTGACGACAGACGACTCCCATCTACTAGCTATCAGCCCCCCCCCGAAGCAGAAGCCAGCTGTGCAATGTGTTCAACTGGCTTCAACTTCAGCTGGTGCAGAGATCTTGGGGTTCGGTACTGGTAGCAGCTTCCGCCCAATTGCTACTGTACATTGCATACATCATGTACACGAAATCTGCAAGTCTGCAAGTCAACGTCAGAGTCAATCATATGCGCGCAGGTGAACGTATCGACGTACACTCAAAGCTCTACTCAACAGCCCCAGAGCTCGCAGATTGCTGTTCCGCATGACACATGTGTCATCCTTCCAACCTCTACGACTGTACATGTACTAGCTAGTATTGGTACTGCACTCCAACTCTTTCCGTGTTCTTTTGTAGAGTGTTGACGCGAATACCTGGAGCAGATCTTGGACTGATATCTTTTGAAGATATTTTCGCCTTCAGAGAACAACCGATCTATTCCCACGCTTGAGACTATTTATGGCCATGTTGAGGCAAATGACGTGGTTGACACCACATCCAAAAGTCTCATTAGGCTTCTCGTAGCACATTCCAAAATCAAGAACGCAAACGGGGAATTACGAAGGCTACTTTCTGCATGTGGCACTCTGTCTGCTGCGCATGTGGCCCAGTCGCAACCGTTGCAGCTGTATTCAAGAGCTGTCATGCGTGGGAACTTCAGCATTTTCATTCGTAGTGTCGTATCTTTGAAACAGCTGTAAGGGAGGAAGCGGCGTCAATTTGAGTTCCTTTGTTCCTTTGTTCCTTTTGCAAGTATCATGACACCTCATCTTCTTCTGACTTCGCCTTTGTAAGTGGCAATCTAAAATCGTCGGCCAGCTTTGTCACTGCACTGACTGAGGACAGGTCATTTTCAAGAGGTTGCTTCGGGTGCTTTTGCAACCAGTAGACACCCTAGCTATTCTCACAAAACTCCTCTCATCCAATCTTGGCATTGCAGATACCCGTACCACGAACAACAATACCCCAAAATGACCTCTGCTTTCGTGCCCGTCGCTCCCTCCCAGCCCAGACCTCAAGGTCGTCGTCGTTATGATGCAACAGATATCGCTCTCCTGATTGAATTCTCTACAATGTGGATGGAGACTGAAGACGCTGTTGCAGCAGCCAACATGAATCATTCGGATCCTCCTGTCACCATCACGTCTGCTCCCGCTGCTGAGGTTCCCACGCCCTTGCAACAGGAATCACAAGGAGCACCCGCTACTACTGAAGCACCAGAAGTGGTAGATTTGACAATGTCAGATCCGATCATCATGGCTGATCAATTTCAAGACAATGCCAGTGTCGTCAGTGTGGAAAGTTTTGAATGCCAAGATATGGAAACAGAACAGTCTGCTCCTGTTAAAGGCGACACGAATCAAAGAGAGACCTTCCTCAGCACTTGCTGGGAGATTGACTCATTCATGGACACTGTCCAAGTGGGCCTCGCATAACAATGCTTGTGTCTGCTACCTTGCTTCCTTTTCCCTTCCTTCAAATCTTTTCTCTTTCTTCCTTCTTGCCGCTGGATCTTCAGGGCTATGTACATAAACTGACCCAAGGCCAAGATATGCAATATATAGAGGTAAACTATCATAGAATCAACTGTATCCAAGTTACTTGTCTCGTTATGTAGAAAGCACTTGTAGGGACATGAAGGAGTCGTACCGGTGGTGCAGGTTGATTCTCAATACATCTTGATGATTGCTGATGGGGAACGGAATAAGATAGGTTGAAGTCAGCATCTTAGCGCAGGGCGTCGGGGGGCAAACCAACCCCCAGATGCCCCCCTCCACTACTGTTTGTATCGTCGCGGCTTGGCGGGTGGCAGCGTTACGCTCCTCCACCGGTCGACGCACCACTCCTCTGGTGGAAGGTTCACCACGAGGTTGACATCTTGGGACAAAATCTCCAAAGGCCTCCAGGACATTGGGCACTCCAAGAGTACTAGTACATCAGCCTGGCTCTTGGACTCACGATGGCTCTTGGACTCACGATGCCGTTGTCGTCCTGGGCGGTCCAAAAGAGACACCGCCAACACCTTTAAACCTGTACCGGTACTTTACGGTACACGTACGGGTAGGGAATAAAAAAGTCATTTCAGATTCGCCAGTACCGTTTGTCGGTTGATTTCAGATTTGCCAGTACCGTTTCAAATTTGTCGGTTCAAATTGAGTCCCGCGAAAACGACGCTGCGACGTCGCTGCGACGTCGCTGCGTCACTGCGTCGCGACGCTGCGTCGCTTTCGTGGGACTAAAATCGAATCGAATCGAATCGTGACGCTGGTGGTATTTTAAAATATCACGGAGACGGAAGCAAACTTGCTGTCGGCGTTAGTGATGGGCAAATACACGTATTTTAAGTTTTGATACGTATAATACGTATAATACTGTATTATACTGTATTATACTGTATTAATCTATGGTCTGTCCATCTTTCCATGCACATTATGTGGTGCATTCTACAGTTCGAAATAGTCTCGTCAACAAGATTGTGAAGATGCTGCTCTATTGCTATGTCAACTTGAGGCTTCTAAAGTCTCTTGAACCATCTGGGGATCAGTCGATGACGGCTTTTGCGGAGCTCTTACTGCTGATTTAGACCAGTTCTTGGTAGATCTAGGCCTTGATGAGGATGATGCAGCATCTGTAGCCAAGTCTAGTGGGCCTAGGGAGGGTAACTGGATAGCTAAGACCTCCAAAATTAGCAGTAGTAGTTAAATACGTATAATACGTATGTATTGGAGTTGGTGACCACGTATTATACGTGTATTATACGTAGGTATCAATGGGTGTATCAAAGGGGTGCCCATCACTACTCGGCGTAGAGGGAGAGGTGCACAAGACCACTAAGGTACCGGTAGTAGACGGAGAGGTGCAACGAGACTAGAGAGACGGGTGCAAGCAACATGCGTGCTAGCTACTACGCTGTACCGTGCTGTTGGTTGTCTCCAGGAGGCCACATCCTCCGCGAGGGCGGGCATACCGGTGCCAGGTTCTTAGAAGTTCAGGCGAACCAACTTTTGTCGTCCCATGGAGAGCAAAGCTCTGCTGGCGAGAAGGAGGAGAGGTGGAAACAACATGCTGCTGATGCCGCTGCTGCAGCCACCATGAAGTAGCAGACGTCGAGGGATATTTGAGGCCAGACACAATCATGGTAATCCCCCATGATGAACCCTTCGCCTTCACAGTGGGCTTGCATGGATCGCTGGGACGATCCAATCTCTTGCTCACCCCCCGAAACAAGCCTTCCCTTTGAGACAAGAACGCCAAGACGAATCTTTCATGAAATCTTCATGTTGCCATACTTGAATTTCATTTGTATCCAGATTGACAGTTGTGAGGCTTCCACCTCCACCACATGATGGCAATGACTCTGGTGATGTCAAAGCTTCATAGGCTTCTTGCAAGACTCCACCAGTGTTTCCTCCATTGAAATGTAGAAAGGGAGGACATTTGATGCTGGAAGCACCTGATGCTGCTGTGGTTGTGTGGCAGTAGGCTTTGCGGTTGGAATGTTGTTGTTGGGAGGAGGATTCTGGTTGATCTTGCAACTGCAATTCATTGTGGATCATAGACCAACTACCTCCCGCAAAGAACTGATAATTGGCATCCAACCCAATAGTACTAGTGGATGAAGAGTGTCGCAGAAAGGCGGCATTCCCCAACAACTGGTCCGTTCCGGCCGTGTGACACACCTGTTCCTCGGGCCTATTCAGTATGGCGTGCGACAGTTCTTGCAACACCAGCCCAGCTTGTGAGGCAACACCAAGCCACCCACCCGTATTGACAAATTTGTGTCCTTGGCGTATGGCCCCATCTTGACTCATAGCCATTGGAAAGTTTCCCTGTTGCTTGTGGCTGCCACACACGGAGTGTGGTATTCCCAGACTATGAGGCCATACCCCCATGGGAAAGCATAAATCCTCTGCCGAAAAGAGAAAGGAAGGTGATTGCTGTGTTTGTCTTGTTTGGAACGCCTGTAGCACTTCACTTGGCGTATTTTGAATGAAGACATCCTTGGCATCGGCAAAGACAATGAGTGTTTCGTTGGCATGAGACTGGGTATGAGCTAGTATGTGATGGATCGTCTGCAAGGCATAAGTGTACTTGTACTTGAGTCCTCGAAATCTGCCCGTGGCCAATACGACATTCCAGTTTCGTGCCACCGCCGTGGCTACCAATGGACACGCCATTTTGTCGGGACGTTGTCCCCGTCCCATGGCCAATGCTACCAGAAACACTTGTTTTGGGTTGTTGTTGACTTTTTGGGTATGAGTATTGTTGTTGGTGGTGGTGGTGGTGGTGTCAGCAGCAGTAGCTTGTGCCAAAGTACTTTTGTGATTGTTGTCGTAGCAGGGCTGTAGAGGAAACTCCAAATGAAGAGCACACCTGGCCGTTTGCACCAACTTTTGGGCAATCCATTGTTTTTGAAAGACCCTTGGAAGCGGAATCCAAAAGGCGGGACGCAATCGTTTTCTCCACGCCTCCGAACACCACTCCCCCTCGAATAGTGACTCCAAACCGCCGTGATGAATGTTGTGGGGGTCTCCACATTTGGCCAAGCCATCCATGAAGGACCGTAATGACAGGGCTGCTTGCTCCTCGTGAGTATCATGGTAATAATGACAGGCTCGCATGGCTTGGTTCCATTGGGCGGATGCCTGTTGCATGGCGGGGCTCATGCTAGTAGTAGCATTGTTGCTGGTTTTGTGTTGGCGGTCCATCCAATCCTGGACGGCCACGTGGGCCACTTGGGGTAGAAACGTTGGATTGGAAAGGAACGTCTTGCAGTGGGGACTGTTTCCCATGGAAAATATTGTGGAGGATGCCTTGTTGTGGCTAGTCTCCACCCACGCAAAGTGATATGGCACTTGTCTCATCCAAAGATACTGAACCCAGAATCCCACTACCAATAACATTAGTGCCAATACTCGAACTGGCTTACATTTCTTGAATCGAGTAACAACATGGCGATGGAAGGGTGAGGACCAAGCTGTTGATCTGTATTTCAGCGGCATACTACAGCTGTACCGTACTATTCATTAGCATTGGAAGCTATGCTCATGGTCCATCGCCCACAGAAAAATGGCGGGCAATGCTGATGGCGTCGTGGTGTAAGGGTAAAATAAAGTTATTTCAAGGACAGCAAAGAGTGACCAGCTAGTTAAGATATTCATATGCCCCCTGGGTCGTCTCCGTTTCCAGTACTAGTTTAACTTGTCTACTAATACAGGATAATGGTGAATAGAATCGAATGAATCATGTGGCTTATATTTAGGGTTTAGGTTTTGC